TGTAGCCCAGCTTTGGCCTATGCCAAATTTGTAGTGGGGCCCATCCATGTGCTTTTCAACAGCCAACATTGATATATATAGATTTTTAAAAGCCTTTTGAATGTTTTCAATTCATAGTGTTTAAGAAAAAAGTATAAAAAATTGTTGGCAATGAGGTTGGAGGTCAGATCTACCCACTTCCTTTAAATAATAATAATAAAAAATGTGGTCAACTTTTCAAATCTTTTCAAGTGTTGTTTAAAAACAATTATAAAAAAGTCTTGTTCATGACCATTGGAGCTCAAACATTGAAACCCATCCTTTTTTTATATAGAAAAATTAGGTATTAAACATAACCATCTTTATTAATTAGTATTTGAGACAAACAGTATTTCTGTTTTGGTTTTAATACATAGCAATTGAATTTTGTTTTGGATTTGGCAAAAGAGAAGGTCCAAATTTGTTGGCCCACCTTACATTAAACACTAAAACGACAAGTATACCCTTTTTGTTTAAAAGGGTGACCCAAATTCGTTGGGTTCCTTTTTTTAATTATTTTTATCAGATCAGATCGAGAGACCTGAGGCATTTTGAGAGCTCTTGTCAACCAAAACAACATCGGTGGCGTCATTAGAAAGTCAAGTAGAGTGATCAAGTAGCTACAGTAGGCCATCGGGGCCAAGATCCAAATCGAAGAAGCCCAAGTCAAGTCCCTAGATCGGGTAGTGGTAGTCGTCGCTTCGAGCGCAATATGTTCCAAGATTTGGCTGAGAACTCCATGCCTCAAAAATGTTAATGGTGGTAGGGAAGAGAAGATTGAGGTGGGGTGGTTTCGTGCCGGTTTCTGGCTGAGGCAGCGCCGGTCGGGTCGCTGATAGGGAAGGGCGGTAAGGTGGTGGAGAAGATTAGGAAAGAGACTGGTTGTAAAATTAGGGTTTTGAATGAGAAATTGCAGGCTTGTGCAGTTTCTATGGACGAGGTGGTCGAGGTGAGTTTGTGTCTTTGTTTTTTCGAGATTTCAATTACGTTTTGGATGTAAATTAGATAAGTTGTGTGTATATTGAGTTAGTTTGAGTTTGGGTTTTACTTCAAAGGCCTGCATTTGCATTCACTTGTTGTTGGTATTTGTGTATGATGTATTGAATTTGTCCCATTTAGCTTACGTCAAAATCTTAAATTGATGGAAATTGGCTAAATGCATGAAAGAGTTCTACTATGTAGTCATGAGGTTCAATCTGTGTAACATAGGGATTAAAACTCAACCCAAGAGATGTTACAAACTCTTCAGCAATTTGGGCCAATTAATATCAGGATATGCGACAAGATAAGCATTGTAATTTCCTATAGCACCAGCAAATTTTCCCATTATTTCCCATTATTTCCATTCGCTCTGGTTTTCTAGTTCTACTTTTGAGTTTGCTTTAAAATTTCTAGTTAGTGCATGTTTTTAGTCTATATTTCACACACATATATAAATGCATATATGTCTGCATTCTTGTGTGCCTGTTTGTTACACACACATATGACTCTTTCTTCATCAGCAGGATCTTGTTTTTTGGGATGTGATAGGCCATTCGAACAGGCTATATTTTGCTGTTTGAACAGCCTCTCACAAGTCATATCATGTGGCTTCCTGTTTGAAGTTATCTATATGTACATATATTGTGAAGATATAAATGGCTGATTGTAGTTATTACAAGTGTTTGTGGTACCCAGTGAAGAAGTAGGATGTTTAGCCCCATGCATGTCCTTTCTTTTTCAATTGATGCTTTACCCCACCTTCCCACTTACTGGTAGTCATTTATGAGTGTGATTCAAGTAAATGAAAACCTCAATGTGCTTGGAATATTATGCCTTTCATGGTTGCAAGATTCTTTATGTGGGGTGCACAAAGGTTTTTACAACTGATTGATGTCAACCTCTGTTGTCATGACTTTCATGCATATTACTAGAATAAGCATTAGAGTTTTCTAATCTCTATTGTACTTGTATTGCAAATGCCATGCAAGACAATTAGTATTAATTGATGTAAGAAATTTCAGTGCCATGTGATTTCTTTACTAGGCTCATGCTTTCTATTAGACCTTCGATCTTCATTGTGTGGCATATATTATAGGTTTGAGTGGATCAACCAACCTCATTCAATGGCTATCACTATGCCTGTTTTCCATGGTGTCATTTAGCATTTTGTTATGTCTATGCTTGTTCAGAAATTACAATAATTTAATTAGTTTGTAGTGTGCGGGTATGTGGAAAATTTGGGGTTGTAGTAGATTTTGAAGGTTTTAATTCAGAATAAAGGAACTTAGATTTGGAGTTTGGGTGGATTTATATTCGATTTGAGTATGAGTGATTGTATTTGTCTATAATATTTGGAAATGGTATTGCAAAACTACATTGTACAGGTTTTGCAATGTAGTTTTGCACAAACTACATTGCAGTTTTGGAAACTGCATTGTACTTTTTATTTAATGACAATTGGATTTTTGCTTTTTCCTTGGCCTTCAACCTCACCCATTTGAAGAGTAGAGGCTACTTAGATAAGGAATTGAGTGGGCAAGAGAAGAGTAGAACTACCCAAGAGCAAGGGAACTCAAATTGGACTTTTGGAAACAGCATTGCAGTTTTCATTTAATTACAATTGGAACTCAAATTGGACTTTTGGAAACTGCATTGCAGTTTTCATTTAATTACAATTGGATTTTTGCTCTTTCCTTGGCCTTCAACCTCACTAATTTGAAGAGTAGAGGCTACCCAGATGAGGAATGGGGTGGGCAAGAAAAGAGTAGAATTACCCAAGAGCAAGGGAACTCAAAATTGGACTTTTAGAAACTGGAAACTGCATTGCAGTTTTCATTTAATTGCAATTTGATTTTTGTTCTTTCCTTGGCCTTCGACCTCGCCAATTTGAAGAGTAGAGGCTACCCAGATGAAGAATTGGGTGGGTAAGAGAAGAGTGGAACTACCCAAGAGTAAGGGAACTCAAAATTGGCCTTTTGGAAATTGGAAACTGCATTGCAGTTTTCATTTAATTACAATTTGATTTTTGTTCTTTCCTTAGCCTTCAACCTCACCAATTTGAAGAATAGAGGCTATCCATATGAGGAATCGGGTGGGCAAGAGAAGAGCAGAACTACCCAAGAGCAAGGGAACTCAAAATTGGACTTTTGGAAACTAGAATCTGCATTGCAGTTTTCATTTAATTACAATTGTTTTTGTAGCTGTTTTTGTTTTTAATATAACTGATATCTACATTGTATTTTTATTGCTGTTTCTGTTTTTATTTGCAGTTTTTGTGTGAAGAAGTGTTGAAATGATTTTATTTTTATTTTTTTTTTAAAAACCGTTGATTGTTTATATAAATATTGTATAATTGAATAAATATTATAAAATCAAGTTTGGTGTAGTGGTTTGTGAGTGAGCCTTCCTCCTTTGAGGGTCAAGGTTCGAGTCCATTCAATGACACAAAATCTTTTTTTTAAAGGTGAATAAAGGGCAATGGAGTTGGTCCCCTGCAGATGGTGGAAGGCCGGCGACGGGCGGTGGTGGTGGCAGGCGGCGGGATTCCGACGGTGGTGGTTGGCTAGATATGGACATGTGGCATAGTATGCTTACCTTAGAAGGAGTGACATTGTGTGTAATTTTGATATTTTTTAATGATATTTTTGTAAAATTAGGTACTACATTTGGTCTTTGGCCTTATGCTAATTAGATGAAATTGTATTCTTATCTTCCAAATTAGTAAACTATATTGTGTTTTAAAACTAAAGCTCCCTTTTTCTTTTGGTCTTCACATTTTTAAATGTTTGGTATTGTTTAAAAAATTATAAAAAATTATGGGTCATGACCGTTGAAGGTCAGACCCTTGAAACCCTTCCATTTTTTTTAAATTGCCTTTGTTGACTTTAATTTTGTTATATATATATATAAATAGTAGTTTAATTAAATTAAATAATATATAGTTGTGGAATGTATGAGTGTTGTATAATAGTTTTTCTCAAAATAATAAAATATGAAGGATCCTAAAATATAGCCATGCAGGGCTGGAGATAGACAAATTTAGCCCTGCATTATTCTTTAAAAAATTAATATTTTGGGGGACTAAATTTTTAGCTCTGGACTACATTTAGCCCTATGCCTGGAGATGACCTTAGCTCTCCAACCAAACCAAGTATAGCCCAACTTTGGCATAGGCCAAAATTTTTTGTGGGTCTCATGCATGTGCTTTTCAAGAAGAGAAATTATCAAGTGTGGGCAAGAGCACGAAACATCTCGTGCAAATGCATATCCAATAGCCAATATTAAAAGTGCCCTGATATCATCGATAACGTCAGCTAGCCGTTAGGATAAATTTTTTTAAAGTAGCCTTTTTAAATGTTATCAACGTATACATGTCATATATGGAATATTGTCTCTAAAAAGTAGTTTAATTAAATTAAACAATACATACTTGTGGAATGTATGAGTGTTGTATCATAGTTTTTTTCAAAATAATAAAATATGAATGACCCTAAAATATAGTCTTGCATGACTGAAGATGGAGAAATTTAGCCATATACTATTCTTTAAAACATTAATATTTTAGAAGACTAACTTTATAGTCATGAACTATATTTAGCCTTATGACTAGAGATGACCTTTGGATTTCTTTTCTATATTGATACCAGAGAATTTAGCTAGTATTGGTCATTCACTTTTACACGGAATCCAACGGTTGTGAAGCCGCGTGCACCGATGGAGCGGAAGACTGAAGAATTTTCTTTCACAGTAGAAGGAATATTACAAGAATATATTATCTAGAGAAAAAAAGAGTTGGAAAAATGTAGCCGAAAGGCCACGTGTCGAAATATTACACCCCCACATCTCACCACAAGCCCAACTGTCAGCTAACCTTATACACCACCACAAGTCCACAGTCCCAAAACGTCGGAATATTGAAATTCAATTATTTATTTATTTTTAAAAATAAATAAAAAACAAATTCTATTTATGTCATCCACAACCCTCTCCCTCTCTTTCTTCCTAGGGCTTTCATCCCCAAACGAGGGCCTCTCTCTCTCTCCCTTTTCTCTGTAGTATTATTGACTATGTAGGATAGAAGAATCAGAATAATTCTCCAGCATCTGCATATTATATAGATATATATTTATACAAAAAATATTATTACGTATATAAATTTTCTTCAGTTTTTCAGGCAGCATATAATTTAAGCTAGATCACTTAGAACATTTTTATCAATTCTAATCACCATGACTTCAGTCATCAACATGGACGGTCAGGATCAGCTACTCAGCGATCTCAACAATTTATCCACCCAGCAACATCAGGTGCTTCTTCTCTCCTGTGTTCTTTCTTCTTGTTCTTCCATCGGACCAGATCTAGTTCATTTTTTTGATCGATTTATTTATTTTTCTGCGTTTTTTTTAATCGTAACCCTGTGATTGTTTACCGGGAAACTGAGGTCAAAGAAAATTTTGTTGGGGGTGAATTGGACTTTCGGGAATTACTCTCTTTCTGTGTTTTCCTGCATTTTGCACGCTGCCAAATGCCACAATTTTGACTGTGTCAAATTCTGGGTTTGATATCTTGGCTGTGAAGCAATTGAAATCCAATATTGAATACTTGGGTTCCTTGTTTTACTTTTCTACGCGTTTTCCCAGCAACCAAACATCACAAAAACCATAAAATCACATTCGTTTTGAAATATTTGAATTGGATATTTGGGTAATTATAGAAGGTTAGTATATGATTCCATGCTCTGATGCGAACTGTTTGCTTTCATTGGAGTTTTGGGTTTTCATTAAATTTGTTAAATTGGGGATTTAAAAAATTTTCAGGGGGAAATGCAGAGCAACACAGACAACGTTGAAAAGAGATGTGGGAATCATGGTGGGGTGTGTGCAATATGCTTGGATGAGATTGTGCTTCAAGAAACTGCTCTTGTAAAAGGTTGCGAGCATGCCTACTGGTTTGTCTTATCAGTCTCTTTTCTATTTAAATCTTGCGTTTCCTAAATTCAAAGTATTGGTCTGCTGCTTTTCGCTCGGTATCATAGTTGTGGTTTATGCATTTGGTGCTATAACTGTTCTGTGTATCTGTAATGATGCTTTGGTCTTTTACTCATTTGGTGTGCCTTTGTACAACTTCTCTGGTTTCAATAGCCTCTTTGGCTATATGCCTCTCCTTTGATTTGGTTATCTAAAAACGGCCACCTTTTGTTTTTTCTGGGGTAGGGGCTGACCAGGCTTCTAAAATTTCATAGTTTGGTGGTTGTTGTAAACATTTTATATAATAATTCATAGCCTCAAATGGTCTGATAATTCATTGTCTCATCAAGAATTGTGAGCAATGTCGTCAAAGGCTGTGATCTGAACACTTGTTTCCTGAGATAAGGCAACTTAACTGGCTAGCATCTCTTGTACTGATGCGAAGGCGAAAATCCTCAGTTGTTTAAGGTGCACATGCAACAGCAATACAAGTTTGTGGGTTAATGTATGAAAAGCCAGAAGCTACCAACCTATTATGTTTTTTTAAAGTTCCAAACTCAGTGGGTTTTATTTGTAAATTTGCATTATTTTTTTCGGGTAAAATCCATGAGAAGCTACCAACCTATTCTGTTTTTTAAGTTTCTGAATAAAATGTTAGGGACTTGTTCTCATGTTCTGAACGGCTTTTATCCTTCTATTGACACATTTGCTCATTTTTCTTTTGTTTTAAGGATGACATATTTCTTATATGCTAATGTGCGCACATTGTGCTGCACTGTTCGGGAGTAACTAGATAAATTCCATTGCTTCTTTATTGCATTTTGAGAGCATAGTCTAACAGAGAGGTATGTCTGTCCCATGCTACTTTATCAATTTAATCTGGAGACTGTTTTATCTGCAGTTGAGACATTATAAAGCATGCATTATTCTTTCTAGGTGGTAGTTGATGATATTGAGAATGAGTGCTCATTTGAGCAGTCAATCTTACAATTTACGTCAACCATCAAGTTTTCTGACCTTTCCTTTTTGTCCAAGGACTGAGTACCCTAGGTTCTCTATTTCCCCTGATTTGATAAGTTTTTCTTATCCACAACACGTGTTAAGTTATGAAATCAATTATCCCTTATTTCTCCTTTTTCTGATTACTATTTCCACTTGATTTCCCTTTATCATTAGGTTATTAATGTTGCATCTGTGAAGTCAAACGTTATTAGTGTTTATTGGTGTCTATTTGATATAAATATCATGAGGTTTATCAAATTTCATTATCAAAGATTGACTATGGATGATATCATGGGTGTTTTTAGTATGTAGAATATTATTTTTGACAATATATACAATGGATATGTGACTCATATAAAGATTCTTTATATTGTATTTCCTGTGGGTTACACAGTTAAAGTAACTACTCCTCAATGTAGACTTGATTGGTAGTGTTGTAAAAATTAAGGGGTCTAGAAACACAAGTTCATCTGATTTTCTGACAATTGTGGTATGGGCAAACTAGACAGTAGGTGAACCTATATGTGCATGGGGAGCAAGGCCTGTTCACAAATCAAACATAATTAGCTTCACCCTTGTTGATTTTATTGAAACTATTTATATGCGCATCATGGGTGTTGTGCTGGACTCCCTGTTGTTTGCTGCAAAGCCATAGCATTAGTTTTAGCTCTCGACTATACTCTTTCTGAGTTATCGCATGAAAAATAAAATAGAATGAAAGCCTGACACACCCTTTACTTTTTACTTGTTATAAGCAACGGCATTGGCTGTGGTATTCATGATTTTTCATTTTCGTTATGTGCAGTGCAACCTGCATTCTTCGTTGGGTGACATACAGCCAAAAACCCACCTGCCCTCAATGCAAACATCCATTTGAGTTCCTGAATGTCCATCGTTCGCTTGATGGCAGGTATTTGAAGTCCTCTTGTTTCGCTTTATGTGCATATTTAGAAAGGGAGAAACATGGTTATGACTTATGAGAATACCTCCCAGTGGGAGATGGGGAAGACATTTTGCATGTAAGAGTTATTTTGAGTAATTAGTTAGGGAATCACATAATACTTTCAAGGAGATGCTATTTTTTCAGTAATTGGTTGACATGCCTAAGGAAAGAAAGCATATATATGTTGTATTAACGCACTACCTTTGCATTTTTATGCTTTGACAGCATACATGACTACATGTTCGAGGAGAGTGTGTGCTTACTTCTTAGAGCAAAATGGTTTGAGCCTCTGATTGTGGAGGAACGTGAAGATGTGTATGATGACCCTGATGATTATTATTACCCCTATGAGGACGAAGAGGATGATGATCTGGATGAAGCTTACTTCAGCAGTTCATCGAGTATCCGAATCGGTAATCGAAGGTGGGGAGATAATGGATATGTGAGAGGTGGGCGTCAAGAAGCAAGGCCTGTTCACAGATCAAACATAGAGGACTCGGGTGCTAGTTCGTCCCGTGAGCCTAGGAAGAAAGAGGCCGCAATGGATAAAACTGGGAGACGTGCGAAGCGGGCACTTAAACGTGAAGCTGCTGATAAGGCTGCAGCAGCAAAACATCAGCAGCATTTGGCAAGGTTGGGCCGGAAGTAATTCCCTTTGTGCAACTGCGTTATATGGCAGATATTGAAACCCTCCCACCCCATCTCCTGTACAGTAATTCCATGACCTTTTTTTCTTTTGGGTTAAGACTGTATTTGCCGTAACTATGTGAAATAATGTACCATCAAAGGGAAGGAAAAAGGAAAAAAAGAGAGAAGAAAAAAAAAAAGAAAAGAAAGACGCTGTGAAATAATGACTGACTGGTCTCTGTATTCTTAAAAATTGTTCAGATTACATTTAACCAAAACAAAAAAGAAAAGTTTCAGTTTCACGGTCTCTCGTTCTGCTTCTTTGCAAGTCAAGTTTCGATTGTTTTGCTGTTACGCATTCCAAATTGTCTAACAAGCGTGTCGTGACAGCCCTGGGTTTACAATGTTTAATACGTTGAAGAGGATAGATCTTGAGGGTACTTGATGGTTAATTTGACCGTGGAATTTATATAATTTTTTATTCCAGATTGAGTTATTTACAATAACACCCCTTGAGTTTTTCGGTATTACACGAATACCCTTTAAGTTTTAAAATTATTTTCACAAAACACTTTTCTTTGATTTTCATTCAAATGATTTTATGTAGGGTAATTTTCAGTTCACTACCATGAAGTTGTCCTTGTTTTAGGGTCTGATACAACAGGTTTGTTTCGTCTCAGTTGCATCCAACACAACATATTTGTTTTGTCTTAGTTGCATCTACAACGTTTAATTTCATATCAATTTCATACATTCATTAGTTAATCCGTCAGGATCTCCGTTGAAAATTGATGTAGAATCATCAAGTGGGTCTCAGTTGCATCCAATACAACAGATTTGTTTTGTCTCAGTTGCATCTATAACGTTTAATTCCATATCAATTTCATACATTCATTAGTTAATCCGTCAGGATTTCCGTTAAAAACTGATGTAGAATCATCAAGTGGGCACCGTAATAAATGATTCCTGCCAAAACACTGACGTGGCTACTGATCCCCCCTCTCAGTCCATGTCGTCCATGTCCGGGTCTTCTCAGTCGGAAAGGGAAATGACAATGAATTACGACTATGGGTTGAGGGCGAAGAGATTCACTTCGTAGACTGGTAGGAGGAATTTTAACCATGTTTCATGTAAAATTGATGTGGCTCTTATGTGTTTTTGGGTGAAAGGGAATAATTTGGACTCTGTTTGTAGATACGTGATTGATGCTCCTTCTAGGTGTGGTATGATGCAGAGGACTCCCCACGTACAAAGAAGTTGATAGGTGGGCTGCGGATTCAAAAAATGGATGCTGAGATGCTACGACTTCGTGCAAGGGAGAGGAAGCTCTGGTTCTTTTTAGTTGTGTCTTGGATGCTGGTTGTTGCTTTGATGATGAAAGGGAAATAGGTCTCTTAACCATTTCTAAAATATACCATATCCAAAACCAATCCATTTGTAAATCAGTCTAACCAGAATGTACCCTATCCACTACTAAGCAAAATATCTGACTTTAACCAAACACCATCAAACTAGTTTCCCTCAAAATACCCTATTCGATCTCACCATCAGTCTAAATCATTCATTCAAAGTAGCCTTCCTCTTCCTGCCATGACCTTTCTTTGAATCCGCTCTTGGGTTGGTTTGGGATGACTGAATTGGTTGTGGAGCTCTTGAAGTAGTTGCTTGGGACAAAACAGTTGACTGAGATGGTGGTGGAGATGTGGAAGTACTTTGTTGTGGAGCTCTTGAAAGTAGGTGCTTGTGGTGGTGTTATCACTACCTGCATGTAAAGAACAATTTTGGTTGGTTATTTATGTGGCAGCCTATTAAAACCCTAAACCACACTATTAATAAAATAAAATAAAAACTGAAAAAACAGGAAAAAGAAAACAAGAAGACTGTAGCAGTTTCTTCCCCTATCGGCAACCTGCCTACCTTGCACTGCCGCCCCTTGGCTGCAGTCCCCCTCCAATAATATCAACATCAAACATACCCTTCTTTCGCTAGTGGGTTGTCGTCATAGGAGATTTTGAAGATTTTTGTTTCATGTTTGATGGGTTTGCACTGATTTTCAAGATTTATGAGTTTTCTAAATACGTTTAACTTTTTACTAAGAATGGGAGGCACGGAAAGGCCCGGTGGGTGGCGAGGGAGGAGGGAAGACGATTGGGTGGTGAGGGAGATGCAAAAAAAGCTAGGTGGCTTCGATAGCATAGGGAAGACGGGGGAGAGGAGTTAGGGTAATTAATGTTGAAGGGTAAACTTGTAAGACAAAGTCCTGGTGTAAATTCTTTTTAATTTTCTTTTCAAAAAGGATATATGGCAGATCTTGAATGGAAATATCACCAACTGACGTGGTGATACCGTATCATTGTATAATTTCTCCAAAGTTGGATGGGGGAGAAAGGAAGAGAGTGTGCAGAGAGAGGGACAGAGAGACAGTGGGGGAGTGGGAGGCATAAGGGGAAAGAAAAGCCACGTAATTCTTGAATAATCTAATATATGAAACTGGTTAACCAATAATTTTTGGATTTACTTTCTTTTCTTTTTCTTAATTGTTTAATTTTTAAATTTATATTAATTAAGAAAACAAAAAAATGACTAAACACTTAAAAGGACCAATTTGCCCCTCACTTTACAGAAAAAAGTAACAAAAGTTACCCCAGGACTTTTGTTACAAACGAAAGTGGAATTGAGGGACTGTGGAAGCCATTTTGAAAGTTGAAAGACTAAAGCTCAAATTGATACAAAGTTCAAGGGCCATAGCTCCTAAAAAGTCTATAGATAAACACCATAAATCGGCTTTGTAAAGATATCAAAGCATTCTACATGAGGCTCAATGATGATTCTGAGACAGTGGCAGCCACTGTTCTAACTATCTTTGAGTTCCTGCTCCACACTCTGTTGTGTACTTTAACATTTTGCATCTCTTAATTTGCAGGTGCACACGCACGTTTATGTTTTAATTTTTCATTTCCAGGTGGGAGAGTTGATAGGGGGAAGCCAAAGGGAGCGTTTCGATGATCTCCACAACAGGTACACATGACTTTACAGTCAATATATTGTCTGAACTACTGACAATAACAAAGGAATGTGATCTAATGCGGGGGATATATGGACAATACATGACATGTATTGATTGTATGAAGCATTTTGGAGAGGGGACTGCCTGTTGAGCCATATCAGTGGTACCTTGATTTGCCACGCTTTGAGACTGTCAAACATAGTGATTTTGGTTTAGGCTTAATACTAATGTTATTCATAATTAAAATAAATAAGAGTTTTACGTCTAAGACTAATTGACTATATATAGTCTATTTTGTATATAAACTAACATGCACAAAATTCATTTTACACAATTAGTTTACTAAAATTCATATCAAATATGAACAAATTCCATGTCAATTACACAATTAGTTTATGAAAATTCATATGAAATCATCCATTAATCTAACCAAAATCAATACCAATTAATCTAACCAAAATTACATGTGATTTGGAGGTCGCGAGATAAAAGTACATGTGGTTGCGAGTTCGGGGTAATTTTCGGTGAATTATTCGGAATACATATGAATTTTAAAGAATTTTTGAAGTTGGTCTAGTTAAAATTTGACATGTATCCTTGCTAGTGGCCATTTTGAAAAGGAATTAAAGTTGAGAAGCACGGGATTGTGACTACAACCATTCTGAGTAGTCTTCTTCGTCGACTCTGTTCTGCAACTTCAAAATTCTTCAAAGGCTTCTAAAATTCTTTACTTTGGATGTGGAGCTTCAATTGACAGATCGTTTTCTTCTACATAATCATGATATTGAGCCCAATAACCTAAGGTAAATATTCAAGGTCTCACACAACAACAACAAAAAATCTTGTTTGAGGCATTTAATCGAACACTTGGTAGGAATAAGCAGAGGGGCAAATTCTAGTATCTTCAATTCATTTTTCGGTGAGGCTTGCGCCTCTGTGGGTCTACCAGATGTTGCTTTATTGTATTTTGTGGCGGACTTAGGACCTCTTCGGTAACGTTTTAATGGGTTGTTTTCATTTTCAGAGAACAAAAATAAGGCAAAAACACTTTCAGTGGCTCAAAAACAGAAAACACTGAGAATTTTTTCATTTTAACAAGTTCATGTGTACTTGTAGAAAACAGAAAAAAGTTGTTTTCATTCTCATCGGAAACGTTTTCATAAAAATAACTCACATATTATTAATTCAAATTGTACTACTAGACACATTTTCATTATTTTTGTTTTCTGAAGATGTTTTCTAATTAATCTACCAGACGCATTTTCATTTCCTAAAAATGCAATTTGTTTTCTTGTTTTCATTCTTTGAAAATATTCTAAGAAAACATAATCCGAAATGTTACTGAACGGGACTTAGTCTCCAGACTGCATGAAAATGGCCACCGGTTTTAAATCACACAATCAGTCACTAAGTTCAACATCATTGGCTTTAGTTCTTCCATTGGTTGGAGGCCTGGCCTTACATCATGTGGAACATGTACGTCCACATAGACCAATCATTCAAAAATAGCAGCTTATTTGGACAAATATGAACTTCATTTTCAACGATGTGAAGTCAAGTTATTAAGGAACACAAAAATCTTCGGAGCAAGTGGTGAGAAATAAATGCTCAAATTGAATGCCACTAATAAGCTGGAGCTGCCAGATTATGGCTTGTCTGTTCCTTCAAATTTGAAATGCACCATAGGTCCGTCACTGTGCATGATTGATTTCTGATTATTGACGAGACCACATGTGTCAACACACAGAAATTATCCGTCAGTGCTAATGGTTGAACATGGCAAAATCCATGTCTGAGTGTTTTTTGAGTGCTTTCCTCTTCATTCATGCTCATATCAACAATAGAGATTTATAATTTATAGAGCAGGGCCAAAGGGGATTATTTCCAAATCATGACATGTATCTGTACCACATTGTGGTATGGGATTGTTGAGACATTTTCTTGCCACAGGAGAGAGAGAGAGAGAGAGAGAGAGAGAGAGAGAGATGGTCTAATAACTTTGGAGAGCATCTCAGTGTGAGAAAGGTGGGGAGATTGATAATGAAGATGGGGCCAAGTGGGGGCCTCCAATTCCCTGAGTGGAGCAAGTTATACATTAGAAGTGGAAGCTGTAATGCCAAGCAAAGCAACCCTTTCAAAAATCACCATCCTTCACCCACCCCCAAAAGAAAGTGCATGAGGAAAAAGTGGTTAAAAAACAACCATAACATCATCAATTTTTTCTTCGATTTACATTCTTCTCTTTATTCCCACCTACTATCATACCCACCACTAAGCAACCTCCACAATTCCACAGTAACTCTCTCTCTCTCTCTCTGAAGGCTCAATTGGCACAACCTTTCTCTTGTGAAAAATGCTTTGCTTAATTTATAGATTGATCCTTCAAAACTTCTTCTAGAACCCACAGATTTGCAGAAATATGGTTGCAGAAGCAGGCCTCCAATGTATTGTTATTAGTCAATCTGCTATCTGAGAAAACTACAGCTTCTGCATAGGTGTGCTCTCTCTCTCTCTCTCTCTCTCTCTCTCTCTCTCTTTAAACCTCTTACATTGCTTACCAAACAGAAAATATTAGAATATCCTCAAGGGGAAGAAGCTATATTCTGATCTGATGGAATCATTCAATCAGACAACTGGGTTCCGGTACAACCTGAATTCGAACACAATAGGTGATGTAAATGGTGATTCTGATCACTTTTCAGGGATTCTTGAAATCTATGCTCATCATGCTAGGAACATTCACAACATATGCATCTATGAAAATCAAGATGTCTATGCAAAATTTTCTCTCACTTACAATCCAGATGAGACCCTCTCAACTAGGATCATCAATGGAGGTGGCAAGAACCCCGAATTCAACGAAAACTTGAGGATGAAAATCACTCAACTTGATGCTGTCCTCAAATGTGAGATTTGGATGCTTAGCAGGGCCAGAAACTACATGGAAGACCAGCTTTTGGGATTCACTTTGGTCCCAATTTCACATGTGATTGGCAAAGGAAAGGTAACTCAAGATTATAGTCTGTCTTCCACTGATCTCTTCCATTCCCCAGCTGGAACTGTCAAATTGAGTCTTTCTCTCAACACATCTTTGCCTATTAAACCCTCCACCAGTTCGTTATCCGAATCATCTGCTAACTCATCCATAACTTCAGAAGTTGTGTTGCTTGATCGAAAAGTATCAGAAGTGGTATTAGACCCGGTTGAGTATTCGAGGATCGAATTCCCGGATATCGATGTAGTAAATGAGAGTCAGCAAATGGTGTCTGAGTATTTTAACTTGACAAGGCATGGCTGTGCTTGGAGACCTGGTTCCCAAGGACTTGGCTCGTTTCTTCATCTCGGTGCATCTCCTCAGCCTGCTGCTGATCATGACTATGAAATGACTGTGAGTTCAAATGTGGGAATCCAGGGTGAACCTGTTTCTCCTAATGGGAGTGGGAGCATCCACAACTCTGGCTTCTTAAGTTCCACCACAACAAGCTTGAGTGATGATAGAAACTCCGCTGATTCAATAGAGAAAAAGAATCGTGTGACTGCTGAGACGTCGAATTCCATCAACACTTGTGTCACCACAGGAGCAGCTAATCAAGGTTCTGCTGCTTGTCCAGACACTCCAACCTCAAGAAAGGGAAGAGAAGCTGTAGACACAAAGGATGCAAATTTCTCAGGAAAGGAAGAGGAGAGCAGCAAGGAAAAGACGGTTGGTTCTGGTCAATATGGTCAGGTGTTTTCGGCTCCACTCGGGAACATCAACATGGAGGCCGCCGAGCAGTCTGCAATGCAGCAACAAATAGTGGACATGTACATGAGAAGCATGCAACAGTTTACTGAGTCTTTGGCAAAGATGAAGCTCCCAATGGATCTTGATAAAGCGGAATGTGAAGACCGTGGCGAAGTGATTCCTAACCATAACAACAATTTAGAACTTGATAAGAAGAAGGATGGATCGAGGGTGTTCTACGGTAGCCGAGCCTTCTTCTGACTGCTAATTGAGATGCTGCAGGGGTTGAGCGCATAAATTTATTTAGCAGGACAACATCGAGTTTAATCCATCCAAAACTGATTTTCATAGGCAGCAATATTACATTTGATGAGATATTTGGCTTCATTTTAGTCATGTTTAACTTGTTTCCCTGGCTGATGTATGTGAATAATTTTCTCTTCAAATTCAGATGCAGTTGTTGCCTTAACTACAACAAACAACACCAGATGTTAATCATCTGTAAAGCAGAAGCATTCATGGTGATGGTAATGTAATTTTTAATTTGGTTACTTAAAAAGAAAAAAGAAAAAGTGATTTTCGTTTGTGTTCTGCAGCTTCTGCTTTTGAATGAACATCATTTGGTGGTTTGTAAACCTTGGCTCTAATCAGGACCATTTGAGGTTTTCCATTGGGATCATGTTCTTCTCCCAATTAACTCTATTTAGGGCCTTTTAAAGTTTCTGGATTTCTCTGTTTTAAGGTGCAAACAAAATAAAATATTTTGTCTTCTGAAGCTATTTTCAGAATGACATAGCAACTGGGTTCCCACATTTCATTTATCCAAGCCTTAACTTTGACCCACTACATCTTCAAGACAATTATTTCTCCACTATACAGGTGGTCTGAAGGAAATAGTGTCCCTAGAATGCAAGGTCCCAAACTTCATCTCTATTCATTTGACTGGACTGAGTGCACTCCAAGATATGAAGCACCAACTTTACGAAATTAAATTAGATCTAATTCTAGAATGTAAAAAATGAGGTATGGTGGAGAAAGATGACAGCACAAATGAAGAAGAGGTAGAGAAAATAATATAACACGAAGGATGCCTTGTAAACCGTTTTCAGAAAAAAAAAAAAAAAAAGAAAAAAAAAAAGAAGAAGAAGAAAAGAATTTACAAATTGAAGATATGAGAATACGTCTGATAGTTTAGTTCGAAAATTATTTAAGAGAACAAAGACGGTTAAAATGTGTCTATACATAAAAACCCCCAAAGTATCATACGTAATAGGGTTAAGTACATAAAAAACCCCCCAACTATTATGTCTTTTCTAATTTCATACATCATTTATCAACTATTTATGAACTCTTACACAAACTCCTATAAACTCTACATTTGACCTATCCCATCATGCATTGAAAAAACCTCAAAATTACAAAAAAGATGATGCCATTATGCCAAATTTAACTATTCATTTTTTTAAAAAAACCTAATTTTACAATAATGTAATTAAAAAATATCAAAATTACACATAATGACACTCCTTCTAAGGCTAGAACACTATGCCACATGTCCACCATCGACAATCCCCCTCCCGGCCAGCCAACCACTACTGGTCATTCGTCGCCCGCCAGCCATCACTAATCACCAATTAAGTTACCCTCAACCTAAAAAAAAAAAGAAATTTAGTGTGCTTGAAGAGACTTAAACCTTGACCCTCAAAGGAAGGTAGCCTCATTCACAAACCACTACACCAACCTTGTTTTGTGATATTTTGTTAGTTACGCAATATTTATTGTCAATGGTTTTTATTTTATAAAACAAAATTATTTCAACATCGATACATGCAAAATTTGTACCAAATCCCTCATGCTTAGCTCTAAAGTTATACAAAACAAAATAGTGTAGATATCAATAATGTAAACAAAAACAAAAACTGTAAATAACAATAGAAATTGCAAATAAAAACAAAAACTGTAACAAAAAAAACATAGGCTGTAACAAAAACAAAAACCACTTCTATAGAAATATAAACTACAATGCATTGTGTATTTTAATAACAATGATCAATCTACAATCTAACAAAAATATAACTATAATAGTAACAAAATAAACAAAACAAAACAAAACAGCACTAAACAAAAATTGTGGACCATGTTAGGAGAGGGGGAATCGGACTGAAGACCACCTAGAACGTAAAATAGGTTGCAAATTTTTTTTTTTTTTTCTGCATTGCAGTTGAAAGAAACATGCATCTAATGCTTAGGAAATGAACTTTACCCACAACATGTACAACAAAAACATTCTAAATGGCGGATTCATTTTGTTTATACTAGTTGAGGTAAACCTTTTTCATTTTAAACTAAGTATCTTCGACTAGTCTCTTTGAACACAAATAGAAAAGGAAAAAGGGAATAGATCTTTACCCTTGATGACCTTTTCTTGATTTCTCAAGAATGAACACCTTTGTTGGAAAGATTTTTTTTTTATCTTGATTTTGACTCCTTCACCTTAAGGCTCCAAGATTGGAGTCCTATATCTCACCACACCAAATGCTCCTAGAGATGAAGAGAAGGCAATCAAGAAGTATGGATGCTAGTCTACTTCTTGATTGGACCAATTTTTGGTTTATGGAAGATGAGATACAAAGATGATCACTCATTAACCAAAGTAGGAAGCCAAAAATCCTAGCTAGGTTTTCTCTAACACTTATCTTATATAGAACAACACAAAAGATAATTGGGTGGCTATTTGGGGCTCCATTTGGTCCATGGGTCATGTCATCTTATGCCACTTGTCCCTTAGGCGCAATAGCCTATTGGGCTATTTTGTCTATTTCCTTTTAAATCATATTTAAAAGCCCAATCCAATATTTCTATATGTCAATATTAATTCCATAATTAATCTTTTAATATAATTTAACTGTTAAATTATAATTATAGTCTTACTTAATTGACCCGGTCAAACTATTTGACTTTAGTCAATTGCTCCGGTCAACATGTTGACTTTTGACTTTGACATTTGATTATCAACCATTGATTTGTGTCTCCTTATTTCATTTCTCATAATTTGTACTTCTAATCACATTCTTTGGGTGTGTAGATCCATAGGTTCCCTTTAACAAGATAATGGGTTGACTCAACTTCTCAGAGACGATATACGAATATCGATTTGTCTCCACACTTAATGACTTGAGACCTTGTCATTCCCTACATATAGAGACGATACTGTGTGTACTGGTCTTTGCGGAATATTGACGCCCAATCAATATTCTTATGACCAGGAACATATTCAAGATTTAGGGATCATGAGAAGTCTCCATGTATGCAATCTCATTACATAGCTCTCATATCCACTTGTGTGTTCCTTAGACTATGGTTGTTCTACATATTGAAAGATAATATAGGATGATTTAATGTATAAAATAACCTTTCTTGCCCATTGATAACATAATATGTCTTTTATCAAAGATATCCTTTAACTCTAACTATTACATAATTAGTTGGCTTTAAGGGCATATTTCTAACAACATTTTCCGTTTTCTGCGATGCAGTTTCTATTGTTTGCAATGTAGTTTTCAAAAAAGAAGAATATTTTGTGTCATTGAAGATTGCCTTTCGTCTCCGAGAACTTGATTTCGTGTCAATGATCAATCTAAAATCTAATAAATCCCTTATGATTAGCTCTAGAGTTATACAATGATCAATCTAAAATATAATAAATCCCTCATTTTCTGTTTTCTGCATTGCAGTTTATGTTTTCTACATTGTAGTTTCCGTTTTCTGCATTGCAGTTTTTGGAATTACAACATAACGTATCACACAATGTATATAAATATAAAATTGATAACAATGCCATTTCTCACACCAAAAAAATACCACACCCAAACACCAAACAATTACTCTACACACTCATAACAACCTGCCAGCACATGCACATTGCTAATGATCACACCGTTCATTCAATCATATACAAACCTAGCAACTCTTTTTTTTTTTTTTTGTAATTTTACGAGAATTCTAAAACAATATATGATAAGTGTATATATACTTACTATGTAAAAAACAGTAATTCAATGAGAAAGTTGGGGCATGAAGGGCACTAACCTGGGCTAATCAATTATAATTACCAACTCATTTGCACAACTAAAATGGCATCTTTGACATATTTCTTCTCAGTGCTAAATTGCGCCAAGGAGAAAAAAAGAGAGAAAGCATGAATCTATTAAGGCCATATCCTAATGCCCTTAGGCAAATTTTAGAAAGAGACAGGACCATCAGGCAGACAACAATGCAATATCTATTATCATCAAAATAATGCCACCAGGTTTTCAGCTGAAGAGAAGCTATCACTCTAATACATTCATAAACGAACTCAAAACACAACAAAGTTGACAGGACCCGTCCAGATATTCCTCGGAACCTGGGACGGACCCCGCCTAATTACCGACATCATCCCGATGCCAGGCCCATTTACGAAAGACTGAGACTTTCTACCAAAAATTTGGCAGAGTCTCCCCTGTAAATTGAACATTTCCCAATTCAACATGCTCAAAATTTACAGTTAAAAACAACCAACTGGCAGCATGCTTTACAGGAAACCACAGTTCAGATCTCAAAATTGAACAAAAAAATATCAAGGAAAGTTCATTTCCAAGTAATTCAATCCCATAACATCAAAACCAGACCGCACCAAATTAAAAACCAGCACAATAATTAGCATAGATTCTGAATTTGTCACATCTCGGGATTTGCTCCGCCATAGCACGATATTGTCCACTTTGGGCCCCCCCTCTCTGCCCTCACAGTCTAGGAACTTATGAACACTTCCCAGTGGGTCATCCATGGTGGGATTGCTCTAGCCCTAACTCGCTTAACTTCGGAGTTCCCATGACTTCGAAGTCAGTGAGCTCTAAAAAGGCCTCGTGCTAGATGGAGGTGGGCATGTACATATAAGGCACATCACCCCCTCTATGTTAGTCAATGTGGGATGTTACAGAATTACTGTAGGAAACGAAGATCTGTTAGGCCCAGTCATTGAAATTGCAGGAAGAGCCTTTGAGCTTTGCGAATCTACCTACGTTGATCCTCTGATTGCTTCTCGAGGGACCGAAAATAGCCTTCTTTGCCAGCAATCGTGACGCAGGATAAGTCATGGTCATCATCGATTGCTTCTTTGCCAGAAAATGACGGAAGATGCCTTCTCCACAAGAAAACACCTTCCTCTAGCGCTTTGTAGTGACTTTCTTAGCCATGGTCGTTGTTGGTATGAATATGGTCATTAAAATCGTTGGTGGTGGTTGCAACCTCATGGTCTTCGTTTGGGATTGAATCAAAGGTGGAGCGTGATTTGGCTCCCATATAAAATACAAAAGGTAAAAACGTTATTTCAAATGCAAATTAAACAAACCTAAAGAGCACATGCGTATGCCCAATTGGCTTTTAACAAAATAAAATTTATAACTCATCCACCAGATCCAAAAGAAAACTAGGTAATGTCTCATATGCTAATTACTAAAGTTTTTTTATTTTTATCACTATACACTAATTTTTCTTAAAAAGAATAATGAAAAAAATCTTTTGAAATGATTAAAAAATAAGAATTAAATTCACAAAAATTTAAAAATTAAATTGAATTCTTTTTTTGAGGTTTGCTATTCACACTTGCTTGAGCGACTATGACAATACTTGCTATCCATGTGTATCATCAAATGAGTTCCCAATGCTAGGGATTAAAGTAGTTTTAAAATTACTTTTCT